CTTTCTTCACATTAGAGATCTATTTCCTGTCTTCTCCACTATTATATAATCCTGGTTACCAGTGCCTAGCATTGGGTCTGACATAAATTAGTAACAGAAGTAAGTGCTGAATGGATGAATGACTAATGTTTATTTAATAAGCAAGATCCCTTACTAAGTATTTCCCACCATTAGCAATCAAATATATAAATTCAAATAAAATTTCCAGTAAATTTCAGATAGAAACATTCCAGACATCTATACTTTTTACAGAATCAAAAGGGCATTTGTATATGACTTTATTTCTGTTCTTAGCGCCTAATCCAAAGTCAACCATAGTTGATTATAAGTGGTTAATGTAACTAACATAGTTAATGTCAAGTCATACACAAAGATGTTCCTAATGTTAAGAGATTCTGTTCCTAACTGTTAAGAAGAGATTCTGCCCAGGCATATTTAGAAAACTAGTGACTTGATCCTGAGGAAGAGAATGTAAAACCATACCATGTTAAGATTTTTATTTCTGTTTAAAAAACAGAACTAACTCCCAGTTAATGAGAAAACAGCGCTTAACAAAGTAATGTGCATCATTCTCGTATCATTGAAAACTGCATTTCCACCATTCATGCTGGATTACTTGGAATGAAATAATCATTAAATCTTTTAATCTCAGAATTGATGTCTACCCATCTCAAGTTTTACCCTATAAAGGTGCTGATTTATAGAATGTAAGTTGCCCTACCTCTCACGTTTTTCTAAGACTCCCTGATAAAATGCCCTCTTTCTTACCACACGATATATATTCACGCAAACCTTTGTTAAGCAGCCAGTTCCAGCTCTTAAAAAGAAGGCACCTCCTACTGACCACAGCACTAATACAGGATATTTCAGTGGGTGTCCCATGGAGTTTTATACAAATAATGAATGAGCTGCCACACAAGTCTCTGACCCATTCGGTTTCTAGATCACTGTAAAAAGTGCCACCAACTTACCTGCCTTCCAAGTAAGAAATTTAAGAGTCATCTGGAACCCACTCTCTCTTCTCTTCTTACATCAAGTTGTAACAAAATCTTCCCCCTTATGCATCTCTCCAATTAATCCTTTCTACTCCTGAGCCTGGCATTGTGCCTATTATGTTACCGCTATGACTTTCTCAGACTTCCAGCTCAAAATCACTTTTCCTTCTCATCAGTTCCAAATGGCATCATTAGAAAAGCATAAATTATCCAATAATCCTCCAAATTTTTCTAGCATTTTCTGAAAGTCCTCAGAGATAGGATTTGGGAGATCAGTTCTACTTAGAAAATATATCTTTGTGTGTGTGTGTGTGTTGTGTGTGCATGCGTGTGAGAGAGATACTACATAATGAGAAGGATGAGGGGTTAAGCTAGAGAAATTTCTGAGAGACAGGGAAGAAGGTAAGTTCACTGTATAATTCTCAAATGGGGCAAAGCAGTTTGTATAAAATAATGGGGAAAAGTTAACTCAGAAAATCATCTTACAAACAGAGTAAGCATACTCAATCACCAACATTGTTAGAAGAAAAACTCACAGGATACACTGTACTGTATGTAGAATCATTATATTTTCCCAAACATACTTTTTTTT